GTCGGGGACGCGCGTTCAGCGCTCCGGTCTCTCCCGCTCCCGGTTGCCGGACCTAGCGAGGGCGCGAGACAGGCTCCCGCGTGTCTCGGGGGCTGGGTGGGCGCAGGTGGGCGCGCGGCCGAGGGTCTGGGACCTGAAACAGAGACCCGAGAGGACACGAGAGAGAGACAGAGAGAGAGAGGAGAGAGAACGCTTGCGGCCCCACCGCCCACCCGCGGAGAGACCCAGGGACCCAGCGCCCGGGCAGAGCAGGGCTCGGATTTGGCCTCACTTTCCTTTCACCAAAAAGCAAGTATTCGACGCCTTTTCTTCTCGCCGGATCGAACTCGTCTTCAAGTAATTGAAAGCCCAGGGCCGGGCGCGGGGGCTCACGCCTGTGATCCCAACACTTTGGGAGGCCGAGGCGGGTGGATCACCTGAGATAAGGGGCTTGAGACCACCCTGGCCAACATGGTGAAACCCCGTCCCTACTAAAAATACAAAAAATTGCCGGGCGCGGTGGCTCAAGCCTGTAATCCCAGCACTTTGGGAGGCCGAGGCGGGTGGATCACAAGGTCAAGAGATCGAGACCAACCTTGGTCAACAAGGTGAAACCCCGTCTCTACTAAAAATACAAAAAATTAGCTGGGCATGGTGGTGCATGCCTGTAATCCCAGCTACTCAGGAGGCTGAGACAGGAGAATTGCCTGAACCCAGGAGGCGGAGGTTGCAGTGAGCCGAGATCGTGCCATTGCACTCCAGGCTGGGTAACAAGAGCGAAACTCCGTCTCATTAAAAAAAAAAAAAAAAAAAAAAATACAAAAAATTAGCCGGGCGTGGTGGCACGCGCCTGCAATCTCAGCTACTCGGGAGGCTGAGGCAGGAGAATCACTTGGGCGCCACTGCACTCCAGCCTGGGTGACAGAGCGAGACTCCGTCTCGAAAACAAACAAACAAAACAAACAAAAAACAGAAATCGTCCATTCATCAACCGTTTATTGAGCGCATAGCCTGTGCGCAGACACTGTTCTTCAGGCATCTGGGAGCAAAAAGGCCTCGGTGCCCACATTCTAGTTAGAAAAGGTGGGGGTGAGTGGGGGGAGAAAATCGACACCGGGCTCAGGAGGTAAATTAGTAGCTTAGGTGCCAAGTGCTATGAAAAAGCAAACAGAGGGAAAGCGAGATAAGGAGTTGCGGCAAGGGGCAGGTGGCCGTGTTTCACCTAGGAGCCTGTAAAATGAAAATCAGTTCTTTACTTCCAAAGGTAAAATGGGGGTACAGGCATTGGGTAAACATCCCCATTGCAAAAAGGGAGAAGTCAGCCAAAAGAAAAGGGCAACAGGCCCCACACAGTCTGAAACCCAACAGGACAGTCATTAAATCTTAATGCTCCACAAGAATCTCCCCGGGCGGTCGGAAGAGGCTGCAATGAGAAGGTACCCTATGAGCAAAGGACTTGACGCAGGTAAAGGGCGTTGGTCACGGGGCATCCCCAGCACGCAGACATCAGCTACAGCAAACGCCCAGGTAGGACTGGGTTTGGCAAGCAGCAAGGAGGCCCTGTGTCGGGAGCAAAATTAACAAGAGCTGTATAAAATTTCAGCCACGGCCGGGCGTGGTGGCTCACGCCTGTAATCCCAGTACTTTGGGAGGCCGAGGCGGGCGGATCACCTGAGGTCGGGAGTTCAAGACCAGCCTGACCAACATGGAGAAACCCCATCTCTACTAAAAGTATGAAATTAGCCGGGCAGGGTGGCACATGCCTGTAATCCCAGCTACTCAGGAGGCTGAGGCAGGAGAATCGCTTCAGCCTGGGAGGCGGAGGTTGCGGTGAGCCAAGATTGCGCCGTTGCGCTACCAGCCTGAGCAACAAGAGCAAAATTCCATCTAGAAAAAAAAAAAAAAAAAAAAAAATTCAGTCACAGAGGTGACTGGGTGAGAGTAGTATCATGAGGGTCTTGTAGACACCATAGTAAGGCTTTAAATCTGGGTGAAGCAGGTTTTGAGCAGAGGTGTGGCATGATGTGATCAAAAAATGAAAAGCAGGGAGACCCATCAGATGTACTAATCCAGGCAAGACGATGGCTGGCTCAAACCAGGTTAAACCATTGGGTAAATAGAAGGGATAGGGGAGTGAGAAAAATAAGGTGCTTACCCCACACTTGCCTTTTTCTGATGCCTGTAAAATGATCACATTCTCCTCAAGTGAGAATGGGGCTAAAGAGGCTGACAGAGGTCAGCTAGTTTCGTAGCTCGAGCCAATGGAATCAAGTGCTGATGAGGCCGAACAGAGAGGGTATGCAACCCTGTGTTTTCTCTGTAGGAAGGACACAGTATTAAACTCCCCTGGGCTCAGAGCTAGAACCTGGGCACGTGCTGTCAATAAATATATTGAAAGCCCTATTATAGGCAGGCAGCTTTCTAGCCACCTGTGGATGGAGCAGTCAACAAAACAAGTAGGAATCGCTGACCTGGAGCTTACATCGCAGGGGGTGATGTTAGATAGAAAACTAAAACACAGCAGATCAGTGCTTCTTTAATTTCAGCGTGGATGGAATGCACATTCTGACTCAGTAGATGTTGCAAAGGTGGGGCCTACGAGCGTGAGTTTTTAACTGAGTCACTCCAAGGCGCCAGGTGAGACTGAAGTTGCTGGTCGAGGGCCACACTGCTACTAAGTGGCACGGTACTAAGAACTGTCGGGGGCGGGGGCGTGAGGAAGAAAGAGACCGGGCACAGTGGCTCACGTCTGTAATTCCCAGCACCTCGGGAGACCGTGGCGGGCGGATCACGAGGTCAGAAGACGTAGATCACTCACGCCCCCTCGCTACGAAAGATACAAAAATTAGGCCGGCGTGGCGACGCGCCGTAATCCCTACTACTCGGGAGACCAGAACTGCAGCTTAAAAACACAGCGGTTGGCAACTACTGTTGGGAGAAGCTGGATGACACGCCTCAGACACCGCCACCGTCCAGCCACAGAAGTCGTAACACACCGAAACGTACAACCGCGGAAACAAAAAAACAGCTTTTCGGAAAACCCAGAGCACCACAGAAATCTGACTTTGGAAACCACGAAAAGCCAGGGGAAAGCGCGAACGCAGTCCCCCACTACCACAAATTATGCAGTCGAGTTTCCCACATTTGGGGAAATCGCAGGGGTCAGCACATCCGGAGTGCAATGGATAAGCCTCGCCCTGGGAAAACCACCTTCGTGATCATGGTATCTCCCCTGCCAGGTAAGTATGAGGCACAACGCCCCAGTACACTCACTCCCTCGCGCCCGTCACACTCTGCACACACGGTCACTTCCCTCCCGTGGCCCCAGTCCCCTCACCCCTTCAAGACTCCCTCGCTCCACCCTCGCCGCTCGGGAAAACCACCGCGAAACCACTCTGAGGTCGCGGCGCGGGACGTGGGTGTCCCAGGCCGAGCGGGACCGGCAGCCTCCGCGCGCCGTGCTCATCTGCATATGCCACGCCCTCACGGCCGGGGGACGCGCCCGGCGCTTAGTTCGCTCCCCCTCGCCGACGCGAGACCTACAGAGGGCGCGCTCCCGGGCTGCGTAGGCGACGGTCGGCGCGCGGCTGGGGGTCTGGGACCCGGGAGACGCGAGAGAGGAGGGGCGGAGAGGGGACGGAGGAGGGGAGGCGGAGCTCGCGGCCCGTGAGACATCTACTCCGACGCTCTAGTTAAAATGAGTAGTATTTTGTAGCTTGAAGTTCAAAGTTAGACTGAGTCATTTGTCGTCCTGTCTTTGTCTAACCTTTTTACTGTCGGAAAGTCAGTCCCTTGAGATAGTCAGGCCTCGGGTGGTGCCTACTCTGTTTACATTATCTTCTCTCTCTCCTCTCTCTCTCTCTGTTGCTCTCTTTCCCTCCCTCCCTCCCTCCCTTCCTTCTCTTTCCTGGAGTCTCGCTCTGCCGCCCGGGTTCAAGCGATTCTCATGCCTCAGCCTCGCGAGTAGCTGGGACTACAGGCGCGCGCCACCACGCCCAGCTAATTTTCCTATTTTTAGTAGAGACGAGATGCCACCGTATTAGCCAGGCTGGTCTCGGACTCCTGACCTGGTGACTCCCCCTTCCCCACCCCTCGGCCTCCGTAAGTGCTGGGATTACAGGCGTGAAACTATTGAAATTCACCAGATCTTCCGACAGAAAATAAAAGGGGTCCCCTCTTTCATCAGGATTGCTTCCTCACCCCTGCCCAGTTCCTGTTACATTTCCTTCCTGTGGGGAGACGGATTAGAGACTGAGCTACCATCTCCTTAGCTTTAGAGCACCGCCACTGAAATTAAAGCCTTCTTGCCAATACTCATCTTCTCAGGGATTGGCTTGCTGTGTGGCAAGTGGCAGCACCTGAACTGAACCCCTGCTGTTCCGGTAACAGTGTGAGGCTCCGGGAACCTACCTCAGGAGCACATGCTTTCCTGGAAGGATCAGCTAAGGTAACCCTAGCCGATCTTGCATACGAAAGTCCCGCCCAACAATCTACCTACCAATAGCAGCTTGCTCCGTCTATGTCCCCATAACCAATCAGAGCACCCTGCGCCTCCTCACTGGCTATAGCTCTAAAAACCCTAAGCCTCAGGAAGTTAGCGGACTTTTCTGCTCCCGGAGCCCTTTCCTGGACGCTAGCACCTCGCCCGGGAGTTGAATAAATTGGAATGTAATTGTTCTTATACTGGCCTCAGTTTCCTCATTTTAAACTTGGCAATAACCCCTTGTAAGTGGTGCCGAAAACCTGGGAGTTGTAAGACCCCTGCTTGGGGAAACTGACTCCTCCACCCGAAGCTGGACCAGGGAGCCACTACACCATTAGGTAAGATTTATGTTACCCATAGCCTCCCCTACTGCTTGCCTCGTGGACTCCCTGCTCGCAATCGCAGCCGCGTCGGGGACTCCTTCTCATCTCTTGCCGTGGGCTCAGACCCCAGCCTCGTCTCAAGGACCTGAGCGTAGAGATGTCCCTACACTCTTGTTTTCCAGGGGTCAGGAGTCTGAGGGAGACGTCCCCACCTTCCTGATCCCTCTCGCAGCCTCTGATTTTCGGTAGTGCGGTCTGGTGTGCTGAGCCGCCCTTCGGATCATCCCCGCAGCAGCGAGGTTTGGGTAATCACAAGGCCCCTCTCCAAACCCGGGCCCTGCCGAACAGCAGGACCAAACCCCTGGCTTAGGCCACTAAAACGTCTATCTCAAACCAGCCCTTTGGCATATAAATTCCCGTTAATTAAGTAACTGTACTTTCAGTTTCTCTTCCTAACCTTGGCACCAGTGAGTGAGTGAGTGAGTTTATGTGTCGTCCCACGGCCTAACGGCTATGGGGCTTGTGTGGGCCTCAACCCGAGGTTCCATGGGGACGTCGTAAGGCATAACGGTGATTCACCTCAGAAACCTGAAGGTCACCAGGCCCGGGGGTTATATGGGTACACCTTAGCCAAGACGCCCTGAAACATCAGGTTCGTCTCCCATCTGGGGAACTCCCCACCCCTTTTGTCTGTCAACCTTCTATGGGGTTCTGTCTCACCTGTCAGTTTATCCAATTTGTCCAACTCTTATTAGCCGACATAGCGTCGAGCAAGTCGGTTTCCCTTTAAGTGGAGGATCTCCTCCAGTGGATAACAGATCACTGGCTGCAGGGAACCTTTACCGAATTCATGCCCCTAGAAGTAACTGTTCTCTTTCCTTCTCCTCTTCTTAGGTTCTCTCAGCCACCCCCTGCGGGACAGGAGTATTTCTGCCCGTGTTGGATATAATATCTTTTTATAACCCTTACTCACCCCTGACTACCCCGTGACAGAGAGTGAACTATGGGTAATCTGGAGTCTCGCATAGACCCCAAGTCGCCGTTGGGATGTCTAATCCAAAATTTACCCAAATTGGGCCTTCCCATAGAAAAGAAAAGGCTGCTCTTTCTCTCCACCATAGCCTGGCCACAGTACTCTCTGGACAACCAGTCGAAGTGGCCTCCAGAGGGCACACTCGACTTCAAGGTCCTGACAGATTTAGATAACTTTTGTCAAAGAAACCGCAAGTGGTCGCAGATCCCCTATGTCCAGGCCTTTTGGTATCTGCGCTCCCGACCTGCCCTCTGCTCCTCTTGTTCCTCTGCCCATGTCCCATTAGCCAAAACCCCGCCTTTGCCCTCAGCCCCACCTGGCTCTGCGCTCTCCGAAAACCCGGAAGACCTGTCCTGCCCCTGCTTCACCAACCGTCCTCCTTATGCGGGGCCTCAACTCCCTCCTTCCTCTTCTCCTCCTCCCCAAAGCCCTAATGACTTCCCCTGTCAGTGCTCGTACCCACTCTCACGACCCTCCTCTCCTCCGCCCTCTGTGTGAGGTAGCCGGGGCCGAGGGAGTTGGGCCAGTGCACGTTCTGTTTTCTCTCTCTGACCTATCTGCTATCCAGAAGCGCCTGGGGTCTTTCTCCACTAACCCGACTGCCTACACCAAAGACTTCCGCTATCTTACCCAGGCATATGACCTAACCTCGCATGACACGTATGTAATCCTATCCTCCACCCTCACCCCAGACGAGCGGGACCGAATCCTTACAGCAGCCCGGGCACACGCTGATGAGGTACATCTAACCAACAACCAAATGCCGGTGGGGGCAGTGGCAGTCCCCAACGCCGACTCGAACTGGAACTATCAAACAGGTCAAGATGGCTGCTGCCGCAGAGACCAAATGCTACAGTGCCTCCTAGCGGGCATGCAGAGTGTGGCTCAAAAAGTGGTTAATTATGATAAGCTAAGGGAAATAACTCAGGGCCCTACTGAAAACCCCGCAGCCTTCCTAGACAGATTAACTAACGCTATGATTCTCCATACTCGACTGGATCCAGCCTCCCCAGTGGGGGCTACAGTCTTAGCCACTCACTTCATTTCCCAGTCCACAGCCGACATTAGAAAAAAACTTCAAAAGGCTGAGGAGGGCCCCCAAACTCCCATACGAGACCTGGTAAACATGACATTTAAGGTTTTTAATGGCGGAGAGGAAAAGGCCACCCGCCAGGCCCGTCTACAGCAAAAGGTGAGCCTCCAAACCCAAGCTCTTGTAGCAGCCCTGAGGCTGGCAGCCCACCAAGCATCTGGTGGAGGGGGTCCCTCAAAACCCACCAAAAATTCTTCAAGGGTCCCACCCGGACCCTGCTTCAAATGTGGCCAAGAGGGACACTGGGCACGACAGTGCCCCTGTCCTCGTCCACCTCCCGGACCCTGCCCAAGCTGCAAACAGGCTGGACACTGGAAGGTTGACTGCCCATCCCAGACTACAGGTTCACCCCTCACACCTGCATGCGGAGGCCAGGCCGGTCTTCTTGGCGTGCTGGACGACTGACAAGGCCCGGACCCAAGGACCCCCCATCACCGCTGCCGAGCCCAGGGTAATGCTGCAGGTAGTGGGTAAGTCCATTTCCTTCTTAACTGGACACGGGGGCTACCTATTCTGTATTGCTTTCCTACTCAGGACCTAGCATACCTTCCCAGGTTTCAGTCATGGGAATTGATGTTAAGCCTTCCTGTCATAATCAAACCCATCCTTTAGCCTGTGTCCTCGAGGGACACCCCTTTTCCCATCCCTTTTTAATCATACCCTTGTGCCCAGTCCCCCTTTTAGGACGAGACATTCTCCAGACTGTGGGGGCCACTCTCCAACTCACTGGCACCCCACACTCAAGTTCATCATCCGCCCACCTCCTACTGCCACTCCTAACCAATGCCACGCCCTGTCTTAACTCCAAGCTCATCATGCGCCCACCTCCTACTGCCTCTCCTAACCAATGCCACGCCATGTCTGAACTCCTCACCCCAACCCCCTATCCCTCCTGACATAGTTAATCCCCTGGTATGGGATACCTCCAAGCCTGTAGTAGCCAAACATCCTGCCCTGGGTTAAAATACTTCTCAAAAACCCTACCCACTTTCCTTCACGTCCTCAGTTTCCCCATCTCGAAAACCCACCGTCAAGGCCTGAAGCCTATCATCGCCCACCTGCTAGCCCAGGAACTACTCATTAACCACATCACAAAAGGTGGAGCTCATTGCCCTAACCCGAGCTCTCACACCAGCACAGGGAAAGCGAGCAAACATCTACACTGACTCAGAATATGCTTTCCTTATTACCCATTGCCACTCTGCCCTCTGGAGAGAGTGGGGATTCCTTACCACAAAGGGGTCCCCCACAATCAATGCTACACAGATCTCCAACCTTTTACAGGCCTTATCATTGCCCAGGGAAGTTGCAGTCATACACTGCTGAGGATACCAGGCCCAGCATGATGCCGTCTCGCCTTATCATTGCCCAGGGAAGTTGCAGTCATACACTGCCGAGGACACCAGGCCCAGCATGATGCCGTCTCCTGGGGCAATGCGCGGGCAGATACAGCAGCAAAGTCTTTAACGCCAAGTTGACCCCTACCCCTGTTCTCTTCCTTACCACAGCCACACAGCCTGTATACTCACCATCAGAAAAACAGGCCCTCATACTAAAAGGGAACAGAATCTAATCAGGGCTGGATCTTCCTAAATAACAGAATTGCCCTTCCCCGGGAACAGGCCCCTACAATTATTGCTGAAATCCACCAATCCTTACATATAGGGCCTAAGGCGTTATACCGCTTTGTACAGCCCCTCTTTTTCTCCCCAGGTCTGCAACAAACAATAAAGCAGGTACACAAGGCATGCGTTACTTGCTCTAAGGTCTCGCCTCAGGGAGGCTTCAGGCCACATTTTCCTACTCACCAAATGCGTGGCAACCTACCGGCCCAAGACTGGCAAACTGACTTCACTCATATGCCCACTCACAAAAGCTCCGCTACCTCCTAACTTTTGTAGACACCTTTTCAGGTTGGACTGAAACCTTCCCCACCTCCTGGGAGATGGTAGACACAGCAGCCTCCCTCTTTACTCAAGAAATCATCCCTTGCTTCGGCCTACCTGCCACCATCCAGTAGGACAATGGTCGAGCATTTATGGCCCAAGTAGTCCAGTTAGTCGCCAAGTCCCTCAACATCTCCTGGAAACTGCACATTCCTTACCATCCTCAGTCGTCAGGTAAAGTTGAACGGGCCCGTGGCATCCTCAAAGGCCATTTGGCCAAACTTGCTATTAAGGTAAAACTCTCTTGGCCCACATCCTACCTCTTGCCCTGGCCCGGGTCCAGGCCACCCCATGGGAGCCAACGGGCCTTAGCCCCTTCAAATTGCTGTACGGCCGGCCTTTCCTGGTTTCTCACAACCTCCCTGTAAACCCTCCTCTACTGGCTTCCTACCTTCCCTTCCTCTACCTCCTCTGCCACCTGTTAAGGGAGCACGCAGACCACTCCCTCCCTGTTGTTCCAGGACCAGAGGACTCCCACCCAGCGGCACCTCTCCAACTGGGTGACAGTGTTCTCCTCCGAGAACTCAAACCAGGATCCTTGCAACCCAGGTGGTCAGGACCCCACATTGTTATCCTAACCACCCCCACAGCAGCCAAACTCCTGGGTCACACTCCGTGGTACCATGTGTCCCACCTCAAACTGGACCCCCAAAAGGATCAGTGGAAATCCGAACCCCTGGGTCCCACTCGCCTCCGCCCCACCCGTGGCCCTGACGCGTCGCCCCCTAACCCTTCAGAGCCTCCTTCCCTTTCCCTCATGTGCCTGTCACCTTAGTCCCGCAGTTAGAGGTATACAGACAGGTCGAACTTCTATCCCTCTTCCACCTTCCCCTCATCACCGGACCGACGAGCAGTCTTTCTCCCAATGGTTGTTGGTCTCTCTCTAGTATTCTCTCTGGTGGCGGCTGGGCTAGGAAGCCGCGCTCTAGGCTACAGTGTCACTTCAGCCACTCAACCAGAGGACAAGCTCCATGTGGCTATTGAAGCATCAGCCACCTCCCTGGCCTCCCTCCAGCAACAAATCACGTCGCTGGCACAGGTAACTCTCCAGAACCGACCGGCCCTTGACCTGCTAACAGTAGAAAAAGGAGGTACCTGTCTGTTTCTTCACAGTGCTGCTACTATATCAACGAAACAGGCCTTGTAGAAGAGAACGTCAGCGCTCTCTATCGCCTCCAAGAAGACCTCCGAAAAAAACAGAATGCACCAGTCTCGCTTCTCAACTGGTGGCAATCTCCCCTGCTTACCTGGCTGACCCCTATTATCACCCCCATCATTGTCGTTTGCCTTCTGTTAACATTAGCCCCTTTTTTCCTCAGGTTTTTACAGGCCCCCATAAGGGAAATTTCCAGGGTGGCCGTAAACCAGATGCTGCATCACCCCTATGTCTGACTCCCAACCTAGGCACCAGCCAAGTGACCCCTCCCACTCACTCCGCCCCTATTCAGCAGGAAGTAGCCAGAAAGAAGCAGCGTCCTATATCATCAAAAGGGTCAGAATGTAAGGCCGGTTGCCTCGCTAGGAGCTCCGACACACCCACCCATCTCTGTACCCGAAACCCATGTCACATCTCTGCGCCAGGAACCTACCTCAGGAGCACATGCTCTCCTGGAAGGATTTGGCTAATGTAACCCTAGCTGGATCTTGCATTAGGAAAGTCCCGCCCAACAATCTACCTACCAATAGCAGCTTCCCCATCTATGTCCCACTCACCCATAACCAATCAGAGCACCCTGCTCCTCCTCAGTCGCTATAGCTATAAAAACCCTACACCTCAAGAAGTTAGCACGACTTCTCTGGCCCCCATTTCCCAGACCATAGAACCTTGCCTGGGAGCTGAATAAATTGGAATTTAACTGTTCTTATACTGGCCTCAGTTTCCTCATTTTAAACTCGGCAATAACCCTTACAAACAGAATTACAGGCTTTGCTTCTCCTTTTCTTTTTATTTATTTTTTGAGATGGAGTCTCGCTCTGTCACCCAGACTGGAGTGCAGTGGTGCAATCTCAGCTCACTGTAACATCTGCTTCCCGGGTTCAAGCAGTTCCCTGCCTCAGCCTCCCAAGTAGCTGGGATTACGCCACTACGCCCAGCTAATTTTTGTATTTTTAGTAGAGACAGGGTTTCACTGAGGAGACTGGTCTCGAACTCCTCATTTCACGATCCAATTGCCTCGGCCTACCAAATTGCAGTGCCGGGATTACAGGCATGAGCCACCACGCCCGGCCTCTGGTTCTCATCCTCTAAATATGTAAAACAGTAATAGTTTCAATAAGTTAAAATTACATTAAAAAGCCATGCACTGTAGTCCCACCTACTTGGGAGGCTGAGCAGGAGAATCACTTGAACCCAAAAGGCAGAGGTTGCAGTGAGCCAAGATCCAGCCACTGCACTCCAGCCTGGGCGACAGAGTGAGACTCCATCTAAAAATCAAAAAAAAGTTTTTTAAAGGCTCAAAATTTTATCAAAACTGAATCACAGATTACTGTTAAATGATAGTTATTCATTTAAGCAAGGTCAATAATCTAAAGACCTCAAAGGCAGTGCAGAAAGTTACATAGATGTAAAAATCCTAAACCTTTTAAAGCTGAGGCGGGTGGATCACGAAGTCAGGAGTTCAAGACCAGCCTAGCCTAGATGGTGAAATCCTGTCTCTACTAAAAATACAAAAATTAGCAGGGCGTGGTGGCAGGCACCTGTAATCCCAGCTACTCAGGAGGCTGAGGCAGAGAATCGCTTGAACCTCAGAGCGGAGGTTGTGTTGAGGTGAGATGACACCAATACACTCCAGCCTGGGCGACAAACTGAGATTGTGTCTCAGAAAGGAAAGAAAAAGTAAAAACCGTCAAACCAGGTGGCTTATGCCTGTAATCCCAGCGTCATTTAGGGATGTGGAGGCAGGAGGATCCCTTGAGCCCAAGAATACAAGACCAGCTGAGGCAATAAATTGACATCCTATCTCACTAAAAATAGATTAACCAAGCATAGTGACGTGAACGACAATATGATATTTCTTTCATAACCATTTTCTTCTCTTTTCTCTTCTCCTCTCCTCCCCTCCTCTCCCTTCCCCTCCCCTCTTCTCTTTTCTTTGAGACAGAGTTTCGTTCTTGTTCCCTCGATGCAACTTCCGCCTCCTGGGTTCAAGTGACTCTCCAGCTTCGGCCTCCCTAGTAGCTGGGATTACAGGCATGTGCCATCACATCCAGCTAATTTTCTATTGTTAATAGAGACTGGGTTTCTCCAAGTTGGTCAGGTTGGTCTCAAACTCCCGACCTCAGGAGATCTGCCCGCCTCAGCCTTCCAAAATGCTGGGATGACAGGTGTGAGCCACCGCGCCCACGTTTGTTTACAGTTTCGTTGATGATGTCCTTGGGGTGCTGAGCAAGTTCGCTGGACCTGTATCTAGGTTTCCCTAGGTATGGGCAATGGATCATGTAGTACAGTGAGAAACATAAGTGAAAAAGGGTATATGTAGTATGCCACCCTGTGTCTATTTATTCTTGTTTTTCTTCTTGTGAAAAATAAACACAAGCCTGATAAACCAGAACTGATTAAATTATTTACCAGGTCGACTGATGGGGAACAGAGTAGGAGAGTGATCCTTTTCGGAGTATACCTTTTTATGTAATTTTAACTTATTGAAACGGTTACTGTTTACATATTTAGAAGGTGAGAACCAGAGGCCAGGTGTAGTGGCTCACGCCTGTAATCCCAGCACTTTGGTAGGCCGAGGCAATTGGATCATGAAATAAGGAGTTCGAGACCAGCCTCGTCAACACAGTGAAACCCCTTCTCTACTAAAAATACAAAAATTAGCTGGGCATGGTGGCATAATCCCAGCTACTTGGGAGGCTGAGTTAGGGAACTATTTGAACCCGGGAAGCAGATGTTACATACAGTGAGCTGAGATTGCACCACTGTACTCCAGTCTGGGCGACAGAGCTAGACTCCATCTCAAAAAACAAATAAACACATAAAAAGAAAAGGAGAAGCAAAGCCTGTAATTCTGTTACCGGAACAGCAGGGGTTCAGTTCAGGTGCTGCCACTTGCCACACAGCAAGCCAATCCCTGAGAAGATGAGTATTGGCAAGAAGGCTTTAATTTCAGTGGCGGTGCTCTAAAGCTAAGGAGATGGTAGCTCAGTCTCTAATCCGTCTCCCCACAGGAAGGAAATGTAACAGGAACTGGGCAGGGGTGAGGAAGCAATCCTGATGAAAGAGGGGACCCCTTTTATTTTCTGTCGGAAGATCTGGTGAATTTCAATAGTTTCACGCCTGTAATCCCAGCACTTACGGAGGCCGAGGGGTGGGGAAGGGGGAGTCACCAGGTCAGGAGTCCGAGACCAGCCTGGCTAATACGGTGGCATCTCGTCTCTACTAAAAATAGGAAAATTAGCTGGGCGTGGTGGCGCGCGCCTGTAGTCCCAGCTACTCGCGAGGCTGAGGCATGAGAATCGCTTGAACCCGGGCGGCAGAGCGAGACTCCAGGAAAGAGAAGGAAGGGAGGGAGGGAGGGAGGGAAAGAGAGCAACAGAGAGAGAGAGAGGAGAGAGAGAAGATAATGTAAACAGAGTAGGCACCACCCGAGGCCTGACTATCTCAAGGGACTGACTTTCCGACAGTAAAAAGGTTAGACAAAGACAGGACGACAAATGACTCAGTCTAACTTTGAACTTCAAGCTACAAAATACTACTCATTTTAACTAGAGCGTCGGAGTAGATGTCTCACGGGCCGCGAGCTCCGCCTCCCCTCCTCCGTCCCCTCTCCGCCCCTCCTCTCTCGCGTCTCCCGGGTCCCAGACCCCCAGCCGCGCGCCGACCGTCGCCTACGCAGCCCGGGAGCGCGCCCTCTGTAGGTCTCGCGTCGGCGAGGGGGAGCGAACTAAGCGCCGGGCGCGTCCCCCGGCCGTGAGGGCGTGGCATATGCAGATGAGCACGGCGCGCGGAGGCTGCCGGTCCCGCTCGGCCTGGGACACCCACGTCCCGCGCCGCGACCTCAGAGTGATTTCGCGGTGGTTTTCCCGAGCGGCGAGGGTGGAGCGAGGGAGTCTTGAAGGGGTGAGGGGACTGGGGCCACGGGAGGGAAGTGACCGTGTGTGCAGAGTGTGACGGGCGCGAGGGAGTGAGTGTACTGGGGCGTTGTGCCTCATACTTACCTGGCAGGGGAGATACCATGATCACGAAGGTGGTTTTCCCAGGGCGAGGCTTATCCATTGCACTCCGGATGTGCTGACCCCTGCGATTTCCCCAAATGTGGGAAACTCGACTGCATAATTTGTGGTAGTGGGGGACTGCGTTCGCGCTTTCCCCTGGCTTTTCGTGGTTTCCAAAGTCAGATTTCTGTGGTGCTCTGGGTTTTCCGAAAAGCTGTTTTTTTGTTTCCGCGGTTGTACGTTTCGGTGTGTTACGACTTCTGTGGCTGGACGGTGGCGGTGTCTGAGGCGTGTCATCCAGCTTCTCCCAACAGTAGTTGCCAACCGCTGTGTTTTTAAGCTGCAGTTCTGGTCTCCCGAGTAGTAGGGATTACGGCGCGTCGCCACGCCGGCCTAATTTTTGTATCTTTCGTAGCGAGGGGGCGTGAGTGATCTACGTCTTCTGACCTCGTGATCCGCCCGCCACGGTCTCCCGAGGTGCTGGGAATTACAGACGTGAGCCACTGTGCCCGGTCTCTTTCTTCCTCACGCCCCCGCCCCCGACAGTTCTTAGTACCGTGCCACTTAGTAGCAGTGTGGCCCTCGACCAGCAACTTCAGTCTCACCTGGCGCCTTGGAGTGACTCAGTTAAAAACTCACGCTCGTAGGCCCCACCTTTGCAACATCTACTGAGTCAGAATGTGCATTCCATCCACGCTGAAATTAAAGAAGCACTGATCTGCTGTGTTTTAGTTTTCTATCTAACATCACCCCCTGCGATGTAAGCTCCAGGTCAGCGATTCCTACTTGTTTTGTTGACTGCTCCATCCACAGGTGGCTAGAAAGCTGCCTGCCTATAATAGGGCTTTCAATATATTTATTGACAGCACGTGCCCAGGTTCTAGCTCTGAGCCCAGGGGAGTTTAATACTGTGTCCTTCCTACAGAGAAAACACAGGGTTGCATACCCTCTCTGTTCGGCCTCATCAGCACTTGATTCCATTGGCTCGAGCTACGAAACTAGCTGACCTCTGTCAGCCTCTTTAGCCCCATTCTCACTTGAGGAGAATGTGATCATTTTACAGGCATCAGAAAAAGGCAAGTGTGGGGTAAGCACCTTATTTTTCTCACTCCCCTATCCCTTCTATTTACCCAATGGTTTAACCTGGTTTGAGCCAGCCATCGTCTTGCCTGGATTAGTACATCTGATGGGTCTCCCTGCTTTTCATTTTTTGATCACATCATGCCACACCTCTGCTCAAAACCTGCTTCACCCAGATTTAAAGCCTTACTATGGTGTCTACAAGACCCTCATGATACTACTCTCACCCAGTCACCTCTGTGACTGAATTTTTTTTTTTTTTTTTTTTTTTTCTAGATGGAATTTTGCTCTTGTTGCTCAGGCTGGTAGCGCAACGGCGCAATCTTGGCTCACCGCAACCTCCGCCTCCCAGGCTGAAGCGATTCTCCTGCCTCAGCCTCCTGAGTAGCTGGGATTACAGGCATGTGCCACCCTGCCCGGCTAATTTCATACTTTTAGTAGAGATGGGGTTTCTCCATGTTGGTCAGGCTGGTCTTGAACTCCCGACCTCAGGTGATCCGCCCGCCTCGGCCTCCCAAAGTACTGGGATTACAGGCGTGAGCCACCACGCCCGGCCGTGGCTGAAATTTTATACAGCTCTTGTTAATTTTGCTCCCGACACAG